TATAGCAAGGCTTGTTTGTGAAAACCTTCTATGCAGCAGTTTTTGGTCGGTGATCTTTCAACTATGGTGGTGTGGTGTGGTGTATTTTATTATGACAAAGCACACTAGGGCTATCTGCCTAAGGGGAGGGATGCCTTTCGTGGAGGACTTTCTAAGGGGAACTGGCTCGTATACACGTACACATGGGGGAGGCGAAAAACGCATGCAGCCAGCCCGTTCGCGGGATTCGAACCTCGGACCGAACTACCAGTGTTCAGCGTCTTTACCGCTCGGCCGCTGGTGGGCTCTTTCAACTATGGAAGTGAAAAGTAGCATTTTCAGCATGTTTTACTATTTTACTATCGCAAAGGTTAAACTGCTTTTCAAGCAAGAAAAAAAAATTATCTGATGTGTATGGAGTAGATAGATCGACTTTAGAGTAGATGACAAACTTTGTTTAAAAATTTTATTGACATTACTGTGGTATTGTACTAATAAATATATCAGAAGGAAAGCAAGAAAAACGATAAATAAATTTAGCAAGTTTTTATTTATGTACAATATGCATTTCACCTACTCTATTTATGTTTTAGGATCATACAGTGTTATAATAATAACAACAGATTTTTTTTCATAACCACGGATTATTTTTCCATTATTTTCAACTGGAAAATTTCATTTAGTATCAGTACAGTTTGATATAATTCCGAGGATCCCAAGCGGATTCGTGACGGATACAGAGGTTCAATTGCATTATGTATTCGTTCATCGAAATTTTGTTTTTTCTCAATGGCTATCTGGTGCAAACTGATAAAAAATTCTTGCAGAAAAAGTAACTATGAACAAATAATCTGTTGTCACGTCCCGTCAAAGTGCTAATTAATCAACGTTATCGTGTGCATTACATAATTCAATAAAAGTGCTCTTATTATAAAAGTAGCTTTAACTATTCCATATAGTTTTGATATAACGCTTTTGGGACTGAATAGATCGATTCCAGACATATTTTCGTCTTCGTTTCTCGTATCATCTTGAGTTAATTATGCTTCGCATTATGCTGACATGAATAAATGGAAGGATATATTATGCTGCCAACAGAAATTAATGCTAGCTGAAAAAACGACAGCAAAGAAATTTCTTTTCCATTAGATGAACTAGTATGAAGCGAGTTAATAATAAGAGTGAAAACAGAAAAAAAAAATTATAACTTCATTAATTAAATATTTTTAAAGACAAACTAGTCATAAAAAGTCCTATACGGGTCACCATGACATTTTCAATTACGAATAAAACCACCTATGGTGTATTCTGTAAAGAGGATGTTAAACTTGCTTTGGTGATTTAAACTATAGTGATGTTGAAATCGCTTGAGGTCACCAACTATGCATGTCATTCGTCGATGACAGATACATCAGCCTAATCTCAATATTTTACATTTTTTCTCTGCTCGTTGTTTTTCTTCCTTATACGAAGTAAAAAGGAAGTATTGTAATCGCGAAAAGTTTCAGGCTTCCTATTTCAACGAAAATGTCCATTTTGACCGCTATCGAATACAATTTAACGATGTTTTTGCCTGATATCTGTACGTAAGGACAGATAAAATACTCTTTCCTTCAAAAAATTATAAACTGCTTTAAAATTAATTCTGAAGAGAATTTTTCGTGGCGTCTGTACGAACGTACGTACGTACGTATATCTCTCCTAACTCAAAACGAGTAGCTTCAGAACGTTGAAATTTGTTACAGGAATAACATGTAGATGTGCAACTCGTATTTTGGTTGCAATCGGCCCACCAAAGTATATAAATATTTTATATATATCCACTCTGTTACCCGGCTCAGTGATCTCAGTTTCTTCTACTCTTATAGTTTGTAAATGTACATTTTTGCTTTAAAAATGGTTGTGTTTTTGTGTTTTTCCCGGTTAAGGGTTTTATGCTTTAGTAAATCTGATGCATATTTTTAGAATTATCAACAATTTTAAAATTATTTAAGTGCTGCTAAGGCAATTTGATGGCGGGCCATTGCTCTTGTTACATTTGAAACAGCTGAGTAGCGGATTGGTTGCCAATCTAGAGAAACTTAGCTTCGCAACAACAAAGATAATGCCTCATTATTATTTAAATCATGCTTAACTTTCTGGAATTTTTCGAGGAAATAAGCGTTTAAGATTTATTTCGTAATTTAATACAGATATTTTGAGTTTTTATGTATTTTTGCCTTCTTGCGAAGTGAGAACTGAATTAATTAAATGAGAAATACTCAATCGTCTGTGAAAAACAGTTTCTTTTTTGGTTTGTTTGCTTAATTTCTTTTAGACATCTTTCTAGCTTTATTTAGTATTTGAATAGACATGTGGCAACGATTAGATATTATATTCTTTAAATGATATACATTTTGTGCATTATGAGTATAATATGTACGAATATTAAGTTAACTGTTATATAATTATTGGATTATATAAATTATTCTCAGTTATATAATTATGATATAAGAAATTATTTAAGTTAGAATCTAGTGCCAGAGTGTCGCTATGGTAAACACATACTAGAGTGAATTTTAAAGAATGCATTTATTCTATTGTGGTTTATGCGCTGTCGAGGAAGTAGATTTAATTCAATCCAATAAGTTTAAAGAAAATGCAAGATAAAATGCGTACAATTTAATATTTCGTACAAGGAAGTCATGTGGTGTACACATCAGATTTTTTAATTTCTGGAATTCCGTAAAAAATATATACATGAAAGAAACGTGATAGATAAATATTATCTGACATTTTCCTTATCAAAAGCGATTAAATTTATTGATATATTCAGAAAGTAATAATCATATTTTGATTCAGTTAGAATTTACGTTCTGATTTTAAATCGGTATTGGATTTTAAAAGTTTAATTGATTTAAAAAACTGCTATTTACTTCATCTTAGAAATTATAAGTTCCATCTTATAGTACTTCCAGCTGTGGCCCCAGTAGAATATTTCAGTCTTTCTCTCAATTCGACTCTTTTTCTTGTCAATAATGCCAAATCTTTATTAAATTTAATTTTGAAGTTAGACCAAAACATATTATTCATGGTTTATAATTGTTTAATTTTAGACCAAAATGTTATAATTCGTCATTATTAAACCAAAACATTATAATTGGTTATTATTAAACCAAAACATATTATTCCTGGTTTATTGAGCTATATCGGGGTTATAGAAAGCGAAATAGTTTCTTGCAATATTTTGTCATCCTATATGTATTGCGAATTTCTACGAAGTTTTATTTGAAAATTCTAGTTTGGACGAAAACGACAAATTCTGAATACAAAAAGTACCTTCTTTCTCACTTAAAATCTGCGCCATTCTTATAGTTTTCATCATCCTTGTTATTTACCCCACTTCAATCTAAAGATTAGAAAACTGTAAGTTTATGTGTTTTAAATTAAATGTTAAAAATGTTTTCATTATGCCGTTAAATATTCAGAATTGTGCGTTCATTTCTGATGGGGAAAAGATCTTAAAATTACCTTAAATTTGAATTTCCCTTAAACCGCCATTTGAAGTTTATCAATGCAATAATAATGCCATAGTATATATATATATATATGTAATAATAAAATTCCATAATCAAGAATGCACTTAAAATTCTACTGTGTTTGTTTTCATTTGAAAGGCGACATTTCTTATTTGAAAGTACGTGGAATTAAATTCACAGCCCCGTATCAAATTTTTTCCCGCCTTTTCTACACTTGCAGTTATAGAATGTTCTGAAGTATTTAAAGCGAACTGGATTGGCTGACGAGGCTTGACGTCATTTTCTTGGAAGCTCCGCACTTGTCCAGGTTAAAAGGACTCGCAAAAGAATATCGGGGCTTTTTTCTTAAATGTCCGACTGCAGTAAAATACCAAAAAAATTAGTAATGCTTTTATTTACTCCGGATCTTGATTTTTGTAACTGATTTCTCCTGAATAAATAATAGGATCCTGTTTTTTAAAACTATTCTTCTGATTATTACGCTACACGAAAGCTGATACCTCACATATATATAGTATCGTATTCAGAGTGAGGAAAAGAAGGATGAAATAATAAAAATACACGAAAGAACTTTTATGCGTTGGGGTTTACATATCTGGGAAAGAAGAACTTAGTTAATTTTGCCCAGGAATAGACTTATGCAATTAAACACATAATTTTAATTAAATTTTCCAATATTTTATTTTACAGACACCCTGTATTTATAGCATAATGCAGGAATTTTCATAATGCTAAATATTTTTTATGCAATGCGTCGTTTTCGAAAATATGAAAAACAAAATATATATATACTGATTAATTAATTAATTAAAAATTTTATATAATATGGTTACATTAATTATTGTTATCATGAAATGAACTCAGGCTGTCTGCAAGAAAGGCTTTCGAAATAGACCATAATTATAACTTTAGGTCTATCGATGTTTATTTAAACATTTCAAAGAGTACATTTATTGTGGTCTGAGGAAACTAATTGAGCACAGATACATTGTTTTGCGAAGTAATTATAATAAACTGATGTGCATATCACTAGTATATTAAGGCGGATTATAAATAAATTAAATGTAATTTAAATAGAATATATGCTCATAGTGATTTGTTTCATTAAATTCAAACATTCGTTTTTTGGGTATTAAATGTTTTGAATCCATAATTAATAAATTAATTATTGAAATATTACATAAGACTTTACTCATATCCCATTAACTGATAATGCATTTAATATGTAATATGCAATCCACTTAAAAGTTCGCGTGCATTTCACGAAGCGTAAATTTAATTACTTGCTTGTTATAAGCAGCTGTAGTCCAATTATTTACAATTTAATGATTTGTTTTATTAAATAAGAACTTCAGCGCTTTAGTAACCCTCATGATATTCCTAATTTGAAGCCATTGAAAATTAGGAAGTGGAGTATTTGGAAACAAAGTATGGATTTTAATTAATTTGAGCTCCCAATAACCTAAGCACAGTTACAGTGAAAATTTAATTCATAAATTTTACCTGTCAAAACTGGAGGAGCTTTCATCATTTCATGGCAGCATTCTACGGCTGCGATACAACAACCTTTCCAATTCCAGATATACGGTTCTTCAATAAAAGAATCCAAAATCTCTTGGCTAGTATTCACTGGATTAGCTTCGTACGTCATGTTGATTAAAGGGTCCCGCAAGATTCCGTTTCTATACCTGGAAGTAAAGTAAAAAAGCACTAAATGCATGTATGTTCTTTCCATTCCACATCGTTTTATGGTAGGAAAATATATACTTATATCAGAAATAAATGATTTTGTTCTGATTAAAAATTCAATTTACCAGACCATTCTTGACATCTATTTCACTACATTTTTTCGAAATATATTTATGCGAATTAGTATACCTTGCATCTGTATGTACTGGAAACATTTTAAAACATTTTTATCTCTTTATCTTTCTATTGAAGTTTACTGGAGTTGTAAATGTAGATTTTGTTGTTAGGAAAGTGATCGTACGCCTGTTATTAAAGGTTTTTGTAGCGTTCCTAGCGGCGAAATGATGTAATTACAGCAGTATGAGCATAATGCGCTGATGGAAAATGAAATTTCAAAACAAAGAAAGAGTTTTGTTATGCAATCGAAATTTGCGAGGTTGTTAAAAGATGATGTCTATTCAGATTCCCAAAAGGTGTGGCTCTAGAAGCTACATTGTGAACATGCAAATAATAATGCTTGTTTTAAATACGCGATGTAAACTTCGCGTGCTTTATTAATCTTCCAGCATGGGTGTTATAAGCAGGATTTGAGTCAAAAATGTCTTTAGGGAATTCAAGAAGGCAGTATGAGCAGCTTACTGAATTTGAAAGAGGACGTGCAAAAGGGATGTCAAAGGAAAGTTCGCAGTATTCGCTGCATGTCTGCGGCGCATCGCACTGCATCTACAACAGACATTCGAAATTTTATTGGCTCCAGTGTGACACAGCAAACTTTGGCAAATCGATTACTTGACGGATAGCTTCGAGCTAAACTCATTGTACTGGTCATACAACTAGCTCTAGATGAGTGCTATCTTGACTTTGGTGTTATCAAGCTAGAGCCAATTGGATAATGAAATTGAGATTTGTTTCTGTCTTGGTGCCAGTGATGACCATATTAAAAGGAGGTCAGGTTAACGTTTGGAGTCAAGCTGTTTGAGGCGTGGACGCATGGGACGTACAGCAGGAGTTACGGTCTGGGAGCGATTTCCTATGAAAGCAGGAGCATTTTGGGAAATTATCCCACACCTATTGGCAGCAAATTCATACGTCAGACTGGTGACTGCGCCGGCTCTGCTGACATTCTTGAGGGACTTCCCAGCAGGATAAATCTAATCTCCATACCACTGCTAGCACCCAACGAGCTCTACAAAGTGTCAACATGTTGCATTAGCCTTCCAGATCTTGCAATCTTTCTCCCATCGAAAACGTATGGGAGAACGATAAATCTCATGTCATGTTGGACGATACCGTCATGTAGGACGATAAATTCCGCATCATTCACAACTATCATGGATCGTTGCTGATTGGATTGACTACAAGCTGATTTGTTACTTAAATGTAACAGGCATGGAACTCCATCTTTCAAAAATGAACCAGTGCACCTATACGATATAATGCACACTCGTCTGCATGCTTGCGTTCAACATGGTTGCAACTACAGCATTTTTAATGTATAATCATTTCACATTTGAAATGACTCTTCTCTTTTATACTTGAAACATTATTGAAATAAATATGTTACCCAAACAAATATTTTGCATATATTTCATCATTCCTCTAAACTAATTTCTTCTTGGCAATGAGATTTCATTTTCCATCAATGTATGTAGACATATAACGGAACTTTAATGATGAATAGTTACAGCAGTTATCATAGACTGAGTGAGAAAAGTAATAAATGGTTTTCTTTAGCACATAGCTGTGAACACCGGCATCGCTTTGCCGGAAAACTGTAGACACCGGCATCGAAATAATTATCTTATAATGTTATATTCCTCGAAGTACAGTTACCTACTTTCTCTAAACGGTTCCATGTTTGATACTATAAACTGTGGATACAGCAATAGAAATAACTCTGAATTGAAATTTAATATATAAATCGGATTTGTGTCTTACGTGTAAGAGCATACAGTACGTAGATATAGCTGATCTGTGCTTTCTCGTATTTGATTGTTAAATATGACATAAGTGAAGAGCAATGAACGCTATTACTTTACCGAACACATATTATCGGAGTTAATCAACGTAAATGGAGTGTCGGAGTTGATGGACGTAATCAATAAAGTGCATTCTTGACGCATCATCAGCATTAGAAGAATGTTAATTTCCGTTTTTATAGTGAAATAAAACTCAACTTTTTCTAACCAAAAACTAAACTTTAATCTGTCAAATATCTTCTACGCTGTTCGATAACCTTTTGCCATTTTTCTGAAAACTTCATATTTCCACGCTCATAGGACTTCCGTTTTGTTTTTCAGCAAAACACTCAACCAAGTGCGATCAGAGGTCATCGTTATTACTGAAAGTTTTACCATTTAAGAATGTTTGTAAACTACGTAATGTATGATAAACTACTGGTGCAAAGTCGGGGCTATATGGGGAATGCGACATCACTTACCAGACAAGCTCCAATAACCTTCATATGTGCCACTAAAGATGTGTGAGGTCTTGCATTGTCGTGATGAAACACGATTTCTTTGCGATTTGTCATTTGTTGCCTTTTTCCTTTCATTTTTTCCTCCAATTTCATAAGCTGTTATCAGTAATGGTAAAGGCTGAATGATATAACTATTCGTGTCAATCAGCCTTTATCAGAAATGCAGTAATACGTGTAATTATAAAATAATGGCTTTAATAAAAGTAATAACTATCATTCAGTCATCCTCAGAAACCTGCATAATCTATACATTAAAATGTGAATTGTTTAAAAAGGAATGTACTGAACAAAACATCATCAAAAGAATTGATAATTTTAATAAAATCATTCATGAAATTTTTTTTTCAGCAACTAGCAAAACTTGTTTATTGCTTTTTCGAGAAAGAATTTGTATTTTCCAATTTTAAACGCTTCCTTACATTCTCAAGAACTGCGAATGTAAGGAATCATTAAAACACTGAATCATTAAAAATTAATTAATAAAAATCTTAGAAGAAATTACGATGCTTTTATCTTCTCTAAATGAATAGTCAATTACTTTTAACGATTTACAAATTATTCGCGTTCCAGGTTATGAAAAAAATAACAAAGTAAAATAGTTTTACTAATCCCGAAAATAAATGTCATTTTAATACAATGCAGCTGAAACTAGAATGACGTTAAACCGTGTTAGCTTTAAAAAACATTTAATGGAAATATGCTATACTTCAGTTTTAAAATAGACATTTGAATCATTAGAGTTTGCATATTGTTTTCAAATCTGCCAGTCTGAAGAATTTGAAAAAATTTGAAATCTGAAAAATATTTGAAAACTTTTTAAAATGATTTGAAATTTAATTACTGTTCTATGTCGCATAGAATACTAACCTTGTGGAAATTAGCTGTAGTAAAACTGTCACCAAGATAAGACCTGAAGCTTTGTAAACTGGCAAATCTTGCCAAATTGTTTATTTATAAATAAGCAGCATAACATAACTGAATTACATATTCTGAAAATGTTAGAAATATTTCTAACATAAAAATAGTTTTCAATTTTCTGTTACATCGTTAACTTCTAATTTAATGAATAAAGTGGAAAAAAATGTTATCCATAGTCGATACATCACACCGACCGTAGCACTTTCTAGCTTTATCTAGTGTTTGCATTTTCATTTCAGACTTCACAGAAGATGTTTTATTTTATCATTTCGGTTTACATACTTCATGTGCACGCATTATGCTTAACGTAATAATGGTAAGTAATAAGTGTCTGTTATTAGTATCAGTATAACTTCGCACTAAATATCTAAACTCTTTTGCAAAAAAATCGAAGCACTAAGAAGGACATCGGGACGAAATTTGGTATGTACAAACATCTTGATCGAACATGCAAATGATCAAAATTTCAAGACAAATCAACAAATGTCAAAGTTCAAGGCAAATGAACAGGAATTACGTCATCGACATTATAGTGCGCAATTCGTTAAGTATAAAACCATTAAGAGAGACAAAAAATTATATCTTTTTTGTTGCTACCATTGCAATTCCGTAAAGTAGCAACTAAAGATGACATTACGGACGATATCGAAGACCTTGCAGACTAACTGAAACGACTTCGAACGTTTGTAGCATTGTAAGGGTTGCGTGAAGCTGGGTGGTCATACCAAGCAATAAGCTGCCACCTGCAGCGTACAGACACTGCTGTGCCAAAGATGTTGGCAGCAAATGGTTGCTACAAGGAAATGTCGCCGAAATGAAGGCTCTGGAAGGCCAAAGAGCACAAATGCGAGGCAAAGATAGGATTATTGTTCGCCAGGCCCGAACCGCCCCAACTCTATCATTGTCGACCTGTTCAACGCAGTACAGCCACGTCTATACCTCCCTTATTACCGTCCATCATCTCACGGCTTTTGTCTGAGGCGGGGTTTCGCTCACAGATGCATTTAATGAAGCAGATGAGCACCGTATTCGTCTCTGGAGAGGACGCGGCCAGTGGTCCCAATCAGCCTTTGTTTTACAAAGGCAAAGGCATACAGCCATAACCCCTGGTGTGATGGTGTGGGGCGCTATTTCGTATGACAGCAGGTTATCTTTAGTTATCATCCATACATCTTCAACAGCTGAGCGATATGTTGACACCATCCTGCGGCCGGTTGCATTACCCTTCATGGCACGCCATCCTGAGGCCATTTTCCCACAAGATAATGCCAGGACACATACCTCTTGCATATCTCTGGACTGTCTCTGTGCAGTTGATACGATCCTTGGTCGGCAAGGTCACCAGAACTTTAATGAATCAAGCATATCTAGGGGCATACCTAGGGCGCATATCTACCAACCGAGCATATCTAGGGCGCGCTGGAGATAATTTTTTTCCTGTACAGTGTTGTCATTGCTCGCTTTGAAATCGTTGAGTTTGTTAATAAAAAATTCGTTAAAATTTTACAAAATGGCAAAGGCTAATAAAACAAATTCGAAATTAAAAATGTGGGCTTTCAGGTTCCCATGTTCGGGTGGAGGATTACGTTATTCAGAATTTAA